ATGAAGGAAAATAGACGGAGTCTGATAGTGTCTTCAGTAACATCGTTCTTCTTCACGGTCTTATAAATCTCGAGAAAAGAACCAAGATTGGCATTTGGATCATCTGTTGTAGATCCCAAACTTATTCTGTTGAACTATATGTATCAATCCTAGTTTTAGTTCGAAGTTATTTGCAGCCTCTGTCTGGCGTGTAATATTGGAGTAGTTGTCATTGACAACTTGCCTAACATAGTTTCTAATAGCCCGTCGGTGTTTGTTTTTGATTAACTGCCTGTGCTTCCTATTCTGCCGTTGTTTCATATTCTATTCTTTGTAAATCCCTTAGAAAATTAAAAGTACATTCTAGTACAGGATTAATGGTTAGTAGTTCGAGATTCCTCAATCTTCGCATAAACTTGCAACAAGAATAACAAACTAATTAAAAGTATCAAAATCTATATTAAAACATAAGTTAATTAGTAACAATATCAGTAAAAATCAAATTAAACAGTCATCGACAACAACGTCAAAAACTTGTTACGTATTTTCTATAACGTAAATATGCCATAAGTGTAGGATGTCAAATTTTGTAATATAGTAGTTGGTAGAAATTAAATATCAATTCATGTGGGTTCGACATCATAACTTCATTACTATTTAACAAAACTTGATACTGTACATTTACGGCATATTTACATCATAGAAAACGCGTAACAACTCAAAACATTATTTTTTTTCTAAATAGTGGCTATCAAACAATGGCTTATATGGATAATAGGTTGACTAGAAATGGATGGGTATTGGTACAATATTTAATTATGAGTCCCTGTTTGAGCCACATTATTTTTTTTATTCTCATTCTTGTGCTCATTTTCAATCACACATTTTTCAATAAAATAATATTTTCCATCACATCAATAATTTTTCCTTCTTTTTCAACCACATATCCCTCATCACATCACTTCAAAAAAATGCACTCTCTCATTTTAATGTGCACCAAACAGGCTCTGAGTGATGCTATTCGTAGTCGCTCATTAAAGCAGTCACCTTATGTGTGGCATACATATGGCAAGTGGTTATTTGATATATTAATGTGGTAGTTTTTTATTAACTTGTGCATCAAATAACTACATGACATTTGTATGCCATATAAGACGACTATCGTAGTGAACGACTGTAAATAACATTCTTATTTAATTATTGAATCGAATCAAAATTCCAATACTTCCCATTTAATTTGGTTTGATTTCATAATCAAAATTTTTAAATTATTGATTCAAATTAAGATACAATATCTATAATAAAAATTAAAAATAATAATAATAATAATAATGAGTTGATTGCGATGTAAAAAATGAGTTAATTGTTCATGTGGTATTCAAAAAATAAAACTAGGTCATATCGGTTCTCAATTCTGGGTACTTGAACAAAGAATCAAACCGAATGCGCAAAACTTCTTGAAGCGAATTGTTCGGTTAGATATGATTGGTTCCAATAATTTTGCCAACTCCTAACTCGGACTCTATACATGCAGTTTAGGAGGATGAGCTGATCGATGTACGATTTCGATAGAACCATTTACGGGATTGGCTACCTTGAACTTGAAAGGCTCAATTTATTTGCTCCTTTATCCCAATTGAGATGAAATACGGTCCAGAACCATTTATTTTTCAAAAATAAACTTCCTCAATGCAATAATCTATACAATAAAATTTTCAAGTAAAAACATGTGGTAAATTGCTTATAATTAAATTTATTTTTAACTTATGTATGTGTTTCTATCAACCTTTGAAATGTATTTTAACAGTCCGTTAATTTACCGTTCACAGTCTTGGAAAAAGATGTAGCTCCTGTTTGATCCTCATTCTCCAAAAACACATTTTTAGCCACACTTTCTCTTAATAAAATAATTTTGCATGTAAATTTAAAATTTTTTTCATACTTTTTAATCACATATTTTTCAAAAAATCGCAATTACAAAACATATTTTCTTCCAAAATGGGGTTCAATTTTCCAATTTTTTTTTTTTTTTTCCTGAGGAATGAAATTTTAACTTCATTTATTTTTGTAGCTTGTAAAGAGGTAATTTCACCAATCATCACCTAAGTTTGTATAAAAATTCAAGTTGGTACTTAAATGGTAGATCCTATAAAATCCGTTGTTGAAATTAATTGATGATTTTATAAAATATTTAATGAATTTCCAATTAATTTTAAAAAATTTCTATACAGTTGACTTGTTAATTATTTGTCAATCATATTTGTAAAAATAATTCATGTTTTATAATTTTTAAAGTTTTATAATAGCATGTTTGTTTCCGATTAAAATTGAAAATATGACCGTTATTGGATCTCACTCGTCTAATAAAAATCAACAATAACAATTAATTTTTCAATTTTAATCCAATTTTAATCTCTATCGAACACGTCCTTACTGTCGTACAAGATTATTAAAAGTGGCAGTATTGGAAATGAATTTGGCTAGTTCAGCTAACGTGTCACAAATAGATTGGACAATTTTAATCCAATTTTAATCTCTGTTGAACACGCCCTAACAATATTTTTCAACAACAGTAAATTTATCTTAATCAAAAGTATGAAACAATGTAACTTAATAAATAATAAGAAAAAAAATATGAATTAAATAGAATGAGATAACAATTTCAAAATAGCATATTATAGAGACTAGAAATTAGAAAATAAAAATATACCATCTAATAGGTAGCATCTTATACCAAAAGTAAACTTTTGGAGAGGTTTGAAATTTTTGAAAATAGAGAGAGAATATCTTTAATTGTCATAAACTTACGTAATTTGCTCTTTATTTTAATTCTTGAGGTATTTTTCAATAGCATTACAATATAAAGATCTATTCTCTTTACCATTTTCAAATTGTTTTCTGTTTTCGATTTTTCAAAACAGTGAAAATGCATTCTCTTTCTTATTTTCAAAAACGCGTTTTTAAAAACAAATTAAAAATTTATAAAGAAAACTCAAAACGATTTGTCATTTTGGGTATTTTCAGTTAAAATCAAGCCAAAATTTTCAAAATGCGTTTCGGGTGTTTTCAAAACTATTTTTCAAAATACCAAAAAGAACACATTTTCATCAATCTCAAAATGGATACTCAAAACACAAAATTCAAAATGAATTCAAAACACAAAACTAAAACACAAAGAGAACTAACCCTAACCTTTTTAAGTGTCCAAAACAGTTTTAAAAAATAAGAAGACACCTTAATTTATTTTTGAAGTACTTATAATTTATAAATCTTGAAAGGAAAAACTATACGCACAAATAGCTTATAAACACTTAATTAAAGTACACAATCTTCTTGTCATCGTTGTCAACAGGGCATCTTGAGAAACAAAAATAAAAGGACTACTTTGAGTAAAACACTATGACGTAAAATCAATCCACTTGAAAAATATACAACCACGAGCATTAGTTCTAAAATGGGATAGATTCTAACCACTCTATTAAGGCCCGTTGCATGACTTTTAAAAAGTCAAAAGAAAATTTTGAGATACTTGAATTCTTTTGGCTAATTTTATGAAAGTGCTTCTTTTAATTAGAATAATTTTTTGAGAAAACTGGTTTAATGTAACTTCTTCTAGAAGTACTTCAGAAATAAGAAGCTCTTTTAGAAACTAATTTTAAAAAATAAAAATTAAAAAATTAAAATTAGTCAAAAGACTACAAAAAGTAAAACGAAAAGTCATGTCAAATGGACACTAACTCTCACATTGCTAACTTAAAACCTAACCTGTAAAAACTTACACTACGAACGCTCTCTTTACAGAAGGGATTGAAAACCTACCAAGATCATTAAGATAGACGGTCAACCCAATCAAACTATCCCCAAACCTAAAGAAGAGTACGATAAAGAAGACAAGAAAATTATCCTTAAATGCCAAAACTAAGAATTTACTCTATTGTGCATTAGATAAAAAGGAATTCAACTGCATTAGTACTTGTGAATCCACATATGATATTTGGCATGCACTTGAAGTTACTCATGTTAGCACTAGTAAAGTTAAAGAAACAAAAATTAATATGGTAGTCAAGGAATTTGAAAATTTCTTTATGAAACAAGATGAATATATTGTTGATATGATCACTTGTTTTACCGACATTGTAAATGGCCTAAAAGGATTCAATTGCAAATTACTAAATTGGCGTGCACTTAAAGTTACTCATGTTGGCACTAGTAAAGTTAATGAAACAAAAATTAATATGTTAGTCAAAGAATTTGAGAATTTCTTTATGAAACAAGATGAATCTATTATTGATATAATTACTCGTTTTACCGATATTGTAAATAGTCTAAAAGGATTCGATCATAAATTTACCAACGGTGGACTTATAAGCAAAATGCTTAGGTCGCTCTCGGAGGAATTGAGCCCTTTAAGGATGTTATAGAGAACACCAAGGATATAAATACACATCCCTTAGAAGAATGCTATGGACCTTTGATGACTTATGAACTTAACAATGCCGAAATTAAGGAGAAGACAAGAAAAAACAAAGAGGAATCAAAGGAGGCTCCTAAACGCAGCACTTGATGAAGGAACAACAAATAGCAACATGAGTGATGAAGAGCTAGATGACTTGGTCCTTCTTGTCAAAAAATGGAGACTTTTGGAACAATCGAAGATTTCAGAAGAAGGAAAACAAATTAGCAGAATTCTCTGGGACACCTATGTTTGCCTTCCATTAAATCCCCTTACAATTTAAACAGTCAAAATTATTTTAATTAGAATCCACAACTACTACCTAACTCAATTCTATCATATTATACTTTTAGTAACTTATAACTAAACCCAAACAAACATTCTCTCTATTTCCAAATCCACCAAAGAAAAATTAAAGATCCAGAGTTTTTTTCCCTAATGGAAGAATGCACGTAAAAATCCAGTAATTTATGTGAAAATGAAGAAAAGGCGCTGAACTAATATTGTAATAAACACTCGACTGTATATCATTACACAACGAAAGGAGGAACGTGACATACTTTTCAATTCAAGATTCTGTCTTGAGACTTCGATCCAGGTATGCCTGCAGGTGAGGATAAAAGTTGGTTCTTAGCATCGCAAATTATCGGACATGAATAAAAAGACGAATAATCCTATATGCATGGGGAAATGAGACGTCACATTATGGTACGAATGTGAGTATGAAGTATAGTAAAAAATGAAAATATGTAATTCTCAAAGGGTATAAAGTACAGATAAGAAATGAAAATATATATATTCTCAAAGACGGCAGAGGTTTTCCTTTATTGAGAGTGAGAAAAAAGGGTCCTCACGTTGGCAGAAAGAGACATGTATCACATTACAGTAAACTATGTAATTTCAAGTGTAGATAAGCAACGAAAATATATACATACAAAGAAGAAGACAATTTTCTTTTATTGAAAACAGAAATAGGATCTTAGTATTGAAAACTATCAGATAAACAAAAAGACTGACGACCAGTATATTTCTGAAAAAGCAAGATGGGCATCATATCATTACAGGACGAATGTGGATAACCCCCCAACCCCCACCCCACCTTTTCCCCTTCTCCGCACAATCAAGCATGTGTAAATTGGCCAGCAACAAAGTTATAAGGACGTTGTTTGATTTTTACTGTGGTTCTCTCTCATTTCAAGTGAAATTTCCGAGGAACAGAAAGAAGCAATCAATATACTCAAGCATGATCTCCAGACCAACCATCAAAAAGTTGAGGACTCAGCCCATGTTTGAGGCCCAAATTTTGGGTCAGAATGTATTTTGAAATAGTATAATGATTGAAATGTGTGGTTAAAAAATAAAGAAAAGTTTTAGGTTTGTGTATAATATTATTTTATTGAATAATGTATGGTTGAAAAGAAGAGAGAAAAATGTATTTTTAAAAAAATGGGGATCAAACAAGTGTTCAATAATGAACCTTAACAACTAAGAGAGTAAAAATTGAGGACTTACCTCTACGAGTTTGGTAATTTTAAGTTTAGAAGCAGTCAAGTATTGCTCTACTTTATTTTGCGTCTTCGGAATATGATCGCCTTGAATTGTACTGGTCACTTTGTCAACCACCTTTTTCACAATGGTTTTGTGAACTTCCCGACTCATCCGACCTTCCTTCCATTTAGGCTTTAACATCTCCTTGATAAACTCAACAAGAGCATTCTTGAACAATCGCATTCCCTTGTCATCCTTCATAGCACTGCCTTCATCAACTTTCTCATGGCCATCCAGATTTTCAGAATGTTTATTTTCTTCCCCACCCTTTCTTTCATCAACAGTTTGACCGCCTCCATTGACTTCAGAATTTGAAATTATTTCCTGTTCTTTTGCATTTGGACTATCATGATGCTTCACAGTTGAACTGCCAAATACAGGGTCAACAGTAGATAGTGGTAAGGACTGTTCAACGTGCATATGATTTTTCTGTTCTACTGAACGGGAAACAGTTGCAGAGGCTAGATTACGGTTGTTCTCATTATCTGCCTTGCCATTTCTAATGGGATCCAACAGATCAAGAGAACTTGTAACCGGATTTGAATTCATTGTGTAGATGAGGGGTACAAACTGTGCAGCATTAGGATTAGGCATCCTCCCTGTTGAACTGGAGGTGTCTAACCCTGCAAATACTTGAGGCTGCTGTTCTTCATTCAAAAACCCCTGAGCCATAAATGCAGAAGAGTCTATTACGGGAGCACCCTGTTCGCCAGTTGTACCAACTGGTGATTTTGTCATATGAGCAGCCAGCTCGTTGGTTAGAGCATTGGAAACAAATTGAGGAGCCTGGAGTTCTGACATCTCTGATGTTTTAACAGCACTCTGAAGGTTTTGCATCTGATTTTGCAATCTTGAAGGAGAGATTTTAAGTTGCTGAGGCCCATTCAAATCGATGAGCACATGTTGCTTTCTATCAGTTTCGTTTGATAGCGAGGAATGTCGAGGGAACAAGCTCTCACCATTTTGACTGAAGATCTGTCCCGGAAAAAGAACTGGGTGTTTGGCATTTTTGGAACCATTTACTTCATCAAGAGCATCAGACCCAAATAAATTTACATCATTATCCTCTAACGGTCTCAGGTGGTGCTGCCGAATATGTGAATCAGCAAAAAAGTCTTGTTGCAAGATTTTTACAGCTAGACCATGGCCCTCTTGCATTGTTTTTTGTCCGCAAACGTGGGAAACTCCATCCTCATTTCGCAACTGTGAATCATCGAAAATGCGATCTTGTTTGTCAGCTATATTTTCTTTACCCATAGGTTCGGTAATGTCCATGTCGACATCATAACTGCCACTTCCCCCAGGAAGAGAGAGTTGCTGCTCTCTCTTCAAATAATTGTCATTCTGTTTTGGGATTCCCCAAGTTCTGCTCTCGTTTTTCAAATTATGGTCCAATCTATTGTCAGTTTTTTCTATAGCAGTTTCACCAACAACGTTCATGTTAGCAACAACGCTTTCAGTCCACCCACTGGACTTCACAGTGTCTGAGACTTTGACTGAATCATCCCAACTCGGACCATTCCACCATTTACTCTTGTCATTGAAACTGAAGCTGCTTGTGTCTTCACCTGGCCTAACTTCAAGATTGTTCAGCTTCGGACCCTCATGAGAGAACCTGCAATTATCCCGATAGCACTTGCCTTCTGCAAAAAACTTGCAAGGGGGTTTCACATTTTTATTCGCATGTTGCTCAAAGTCCCTACCAGAGGATGCATTTCTAGAAACTTTTCCGTAACTATCACCAGAAGCTTCGTGATGAGAAAATTTGCATGTATCTCCCCAACGACACTTCCCCTTAATAAAGTCTCTGCAAGGAAATGGGTTTCTACTTTGGTTTCTGAACTGGTCATCTTCTTTATAATAAGGATCGTAGACATCATTTCGGGGTTGGGACCCAGGACCTCTATCGTTAGAATGACCTGAAATATGGCCAGGCTCTGGTCTATTTCTCCAATTTTCTGCTCTATCATCTTCGACACAGTCCCGATCACTGCTGTTGATATTATCTGGATGAAAAAATCTACATTGACTGCCTCTCCTGCACCTTCCTGTGGCAAAATCTCTGCAGGTTCGGGATGATTTTTCATGCTTACTTCTTCCATCACTCCATCCACCAGATTGTCTATGATCCCGGATAGGGGTACGACTTCTTGTCTGACCCCTTGCACTCCCATCACTCCTGGTCCTGCTCCTGCCTCTTCCCCTTGCCTTGTCCCTGCTCCGACTCCTGCCTCTCCTTCCGCTCCTGCTCCTGCTCCAGCCCCTGCTCCTGCTCCTGCTCCTGCTCCGACTTCTACCTCGTCTTGGATACCTAACATAAAATGATAAAAAAGTTACAAGATCAACAAAAGACGCACGACGCATTCTAAAAAATTATTCAAAGAAGAAAGAACCTTCATAAGATCCCAAATATTATGATTTGAAAAATAATAAATGTGTATTTGATTGACTTTATTTTCTATGGAAAATGTCACTTTTCCCCAAGTTCCTACTTTTGGGGTTTTTGATTTGACATTTTTTTCATGGAAAATAGTTTCCAAAAGTTGGTCACTTGAACATATTTCTCAAAAACAAGGAAAACATTTTCTTTAGGGAGCTGTAGGTTTTTATTTTCCAGGCAATTCGCTCTCTCTCCCTCACCTACCCCTTTCCCCTCATCTACCCACCAATGAAAGATGGATAAGTATAACATTTTTTATGTTGAAATTAAACCAACACACATTCACATAATAAAATATTCTACATGTAAACCCAAAATTTTTCGCTTACTTTTTAATTACACATTCTCCAAAAATTCATTATTCAAAACTTTGTTTTTGCCAAATAATGGCTATCAAATAAGGGCTCTATTAATAATTTTCATGCAAATAAGTTCTAGGTAATTCAATTGTCCAAAACTTATTTTCTTTCCATGCAAGTTTCATGCTTGCAATCAAACACACCCTAAGTTCATCCCTAAATGTACATAATCTTCTTGTTTAACTAGAGCAACCCATAGGCTTGCCATAATATACACAAATAAAAAAAACCCAATCAACAACTGAAGATTTCTGTAGCTATTTCCAGCAAAAAAAAGAAATATATGCAGTTTCAGATCCTCAGTAGCTAGAAGCCAGATGAATAATAAAAATAGAAAATGCATTTTTAGCGTTAAGTTTGGTTGTTCACACACTACTCTTCACAGAAACATCACACCATTATGGCACTCAAACTTTAACTTTGGCAATAAATAAAAAAAATACAATCACCGACCTGCCAGAACTGCTCCAATCATATTCGGGAGTCTGATCACGCTTATGCCATTCTGCTCCATCAAAACCTGGAGACAATTTTTTGTTATAGCTTTTTCCCCTGCTTATGTCCTTCACTTCAGCATTATCTTGTCTATTTTTGTAGAAGCTGTCAACTACTGGTGCAACTGTGTTTCCCTCTGGAGATTCCCAATTTGCCCATCCAGAATGATCTATGGACTTTGGTGCACTAGCAATTCCCAATGAAGAAAATTCATGGCGGTGCCCACTATCAAAACTTGAATGGTTATCCTTCCCAGTTGAAGAATTGAATTCACTCATTCCAGAAAGATGTATAGTCTCATCTTCCATATCCCACAATGATTTGCGTTTTTTACTTTCACCCATTGCATTGCCTCACAAAGAAATGCCTGCAATATCTATCTTTGCTATGCAGCACAATCTGTCAAAAATGAGCAATGGATAAGAATTAGGAAAAATGATAATGTTCTATTCATGCCTTTTTTTAATAATTACTTGTGCAAAAGTAATCTTGTAGGATGAGGTGCTCAGGTGTTGATCTACAAGTATCACCAAATATAATGACACAAAGCTAACAGTTGGGACAAATCATGTTAGCTTTTCCAAGATAATAAAAAAATGAATGAGTTCAATGCAAACACCAGCAATGATGATCGGATGGATTTAAGACTGCTAAAATGATACCGGCTAAGATAAGCTTGAAGGAAAATAAAAAATAATGCACCACCCAAGGAGGAATCCAACAAGGGTTCACGGGTCAGAGCTCACCACTCAAGGGAATCCAACAAAGACATGCAGAATTTCGTAAAAGAAGTATAAGGCAGATCTCAAATAAAAATAGACTTAATATTCAAACTCTCAAGTCTCAATAGCTCACAAAACGGGGGTTTATATAGTTGAGCGTTAGAACAACCTTCAAGCTAAGGCAATTCCCAAAGCATTTAATAAAATTAATGGAAATCAAATGGATTCTAAGTGAAAAATGGGTGATAATTTCAAGCATGTGCATTACAATACATTGATAGCTCTTAGGAACTCTCTGATAGACCCCAATAATATTATTCACTCATGCAAGGAGAAAGAAAGGGAAAGAGACATCCAACAGCAGGAGAGCAAGCAGGAGATGAAATCCATTGTTAGTTAGCTAACGGGTGTACATTGGGAAATTGAGTGGGACAGGAATACAATAACTGTGAGAGTGGGGTCAGGGGAGATTCATTCCATTATTTACGTGTTGGAGTCTAGTTAGGAGAGATTCGGGCCTCTCGAATTGCCTCGGAATTGTTAGATTCAATTTTTCTTTTCATTGAATAACAGATATACATTCAGCTTTTTAATCAAATCCATAGATTTATACAACAATTCCTACCACCATATCATTCAAATCCTAGTATATTGTGTAATCAAACTCTGTTTGCTCCAACAAATTGATAAACTCCTTCACAGCAGCAATTAGGGACTCCAGCACATCAGCAGCAGCAGCAGTTAGGATCTTATCAATTGGTATCAGAGCGTCAATTCCAGGACAAATAGAAACAAATTTCAACAAAGAATTGGGGAAGAGATGTGGCTTGATATTCAATCGGTTCGAGCAGATGATGATGCAACGGGGAGGAGACTGAGTAGATGCTTTAGGGCTGGATTCACAAGGTCGACTCAAAGCATCTATATTCTATGAGGAAAATCCAAATCTATGGGTATCTAAGGTGGAGAGAATTTTTTCAATGAATCGATTGTCGGAGGTAGAAAAAATAGAATTCATAGCGGCGTGTTTAGATAGCGAAACATGGGCGTGATTTCAATGGGTAGATCTTCGTCGACACGTACGAACTTGGGAAGAATTGAAGAGCCTAGTGCTTGAGCAATTCTGTTCCTCTCATGAAGGCGTGAAATTGAAGTTATTTTCGTGTCAAGAAGAAGGCAGGACCAAAGAGGAAGGGAAGATGTTGGAAGTTTTAGCTTCTCCTTCGCCAGAAGTGTCTGAACAAGGACTACTATCGCAATACCAACCAGAGGAGATGAAGACAATGATGAAGAAATGGGAAGCGAATGGGCTTGAAATTAGGGCTGAATTTCATATAAAAAATTTGTGGGCTTGGTTTTGGAGTTGGCCCAAAGGGTTGAAGATCGAAATGTAATGAAGCAAGCCCATTTCAATTACGGCTCATCAAACCTAAAACTAATACTTACAACCCAAACCCACATCTCCATTATTTTCACCTGATTCACCAAATACCACACTAAACCAACATGCTCAATGCCAAACCCAGCGTGACCTCCATATTCCGTCCGGTGCCGACGACCTTAGGAGCTCCTCCTTTCAAAAGGCTCACTAATGCAAAGTTACATGTCTTGTGGTTATAACATGAATTAACTTGACGTCAACAGCTTCCACCTTGAGGACAATGTAGATTTCGGAGGGGAGTAATGATAGACTTGATGAGAACATCACTTGTTTGTGTCATCTTATTTTGTTGTGGACTATTTAACTTTTGCTTTATTAGTTGGGTTTGTATTATGGGCCGACCCAAGCCCCTTAACTATTAGGTTTATGCTTTGTTATTTATATGCATGTATTGAACTGTAGAAATTCATGGGCCTAACTCATCTCATAAAACCGGTTCTACAAGAGAGGTTTGCCACATTGTTTATAAATTGGCCCAAGACATTTTCCACAGGCGATGTGGGATTTATTTCCAACATGAACTTCAAAACTCAGTTGATGAATGAATGAATTGTTGTCCATGTTTTCCACTCCCATCTTCTCTCTTCCCACTTCCCCTCCGGTTTCTTTTCCCCCCATCCTTCTTCTGCTTCTGCTCTTCTAGTTGTGGTTCTGCTGCTGAATCTTCCCACTTCTCCGTAATTCTCTGCTTCTTCTTTACATCCTGCTGTTGCTGCCTCTTCTGTGTTTTAATCCCCTGATTGAATGCTTAAATTGATGCTACATCAAACTTGGTATCAAAGCTAAAACCTAGTTCTCTTTCATCAAATTCCTGTTGTTCCTGATGTTCAACTCTAGCCCGAGCACCCACCCTCTGCAATCTACCACTGAAATCTCCAAACCCCTGCAACTCTCGCCACAGCCAGTTATAATCAAACAGCAAGTTATCTACTGCACAACAGCACCCGTCAACAACTTCACAGTAACTGGCAACTTCCAATAAACCATTGGGAAATAGTTCATCAACTGATTTCGTCAAGGTGCTGCTTAACTTTGCATTCTGGAACACCTGCAGTCGAACCAAAACTGGGAACTATTGATGTCCTTGTCCACCATCTTCCTCGCAATTGTTTGTGCAACTCTGTAGCACAAACACTTTAATTAGGGTAGCATGTCCGTGTCTGACACGTGTCGGACACGAGTCGATACGGACACTTCTCGAACACTCAACCATAATCATTTTTCTTTTTGTATTAAAAATATTATATATTGTTAATTCAAAATTATTAGCAAGTAACAAATAGGTACTCATGTTTAAAAGATTTCAACAAGAAGAATTAATAACAAGTATAAAACTAAATTTATACTATATAAATAAAGAATTTTTATGAATTTAATCAATATATCGATGACGTGTCGTGTCTGTACTTCTTTTAAAAATCGCGCATCAGCATATCCGACATGTATCATGTCGGAAACATGTGTCCGTGTCGATGAATCACGGTTGTGCAATATCTCCATAAGAAAAAACTTGCAACTTCCCTCGAAACAAATCTATAATACACAATTCCACAGCCCACAAAATGACCCCCACACTCCTCTACAAGAAACCCATATAAATCCAATAAAACCCATCTCGTGCATACGCAATGCATCTCGCGTCACTACCTAACCAATACAACCTCTGAAAGCTTATGTACACCATTGCCTGCAACCATGAACTCAACCACAACGAAACCCACCTGCTCCAATCATCACTTTCCCCTTCGACCACTGCCTCTACCGAACAAAGTCTCTGCCACCACCATAATCATCGCCAATCAAGCAACCAACATCCAATCGACACTAACTTCCACAAAATCGATAGGCCAATATCTACAGACACCACTCCAGTTCAATGGATTAGGTCGACTTCTCTTTCAACCTCTGTTTTCATTATCTGCCTCTGGTTTGGTTTGGGGCTCAATTTGTGGCTCTGTTATTTATATGAAAGTTCAATTGATTTTGTTAAAAAAAGAGCGAGAAAAGTGAAATGTAAAAAAAAAAAAAAAGTATTTTCTAATGTTATTTTGCAAGTACCTCTTTTATTTCCGATTGATTAACTCAGTTACTTCAACGAACAAAAAAGGGAGTTATTATTTTATTTATCTTTGGTTTATATAACTGCTATTCTAAAATTGCATCGAGTAATTTTTCTGTTATGTTATTCTAGTTTTACCTAAAATTGCGTGATTGAATTCCTTGACTTTTTTAAATCTCCACTTTACCCCCCCCTCCCCCCAACTTATTTTACATGATTAGGTTTTTGACTGGTATTTGACCCTCCCTTGTTATTTTACATTTATCAACTTATCGTATTTGGATTTACATAATCTCAAAATTTTAATCTGCACTTGTTGTTCATTGATCTCTTCATTGCACGTCATTTAACTGGTATTACATTGCATGCAGTTGTATAATGGTCGTCTTGTCACTTCTAGTCCCAATATCTTAACCATGGACCCCTTACAATTTGATATACTCATCCAACAAATACCGGCGATCCAAACTGAGATGGCTACTACTCTTGAAAAGAGCAGGAGCCTAACTGCTAGTTTGAACAATTCTAAGCAAACTCCTCGTTCGATTGATGTTGATAATACTAAATTATCCCATAATAGACAATATCGTCAACAGCAAGGTGATCAAAAATATTTTCGACACGATCATAAGGATACAGATCAAGATCGTAAGTGAGAACGAGTGGATGACCGTCACAGTACTCATTCTCCTTCTTGCAACTAAGGAGCGTTTCTTTGGAAACATTAAAGTAGATCTATTTTTTATGATTGCTTAGATCCTAAAGTTTTTACTCAATGGAATGCTCTTACACAGGGGAATCGGTTAGTGACTGAGTATATTGCTTAATTCGAATGAAATTTTATATCATTGAGGATGAGGCACTTACTTTGAGCAAGTTTAGACAAAGTCTAAGAGATGATCTTCATCGTGAGCTTTTTTTTTTTTTGGTCACTACTCTTGATCACCCATACTCTTTAACCCGAGATTATGAGTTGCTTTGAAAAGCATGGTGACAATCATCCATCCTTCGCATCAGCACCACCTCATCGTAAGTCTCTCATAGGGCATTTCCCGTCAAATGTTCATCCCACTTGAGAAAACAAAGGTAAAAGTCCTGACATTCCAAGGTCGTCTTCTCCGT